TCAATTAACCAGACTCTCATCGTTGTAAACTCGCACTGTGTTGGGCGTCGGAGGAGCTGTAGGCGAAACAAGACCGCCCCTTAACATGTATGAAAATGGAGATGGTGGACGTTTTGGAGATAGGTTAACCATTTCCAATGCCTGAAGTCTAAGCTCCACAGGATAATCATTAACACACCCCGATTCTAGGACCTGCTCCAGTCGACCATTTGCGCAAAAGGCTATGTCCCAATTGGTAGGACTGTGAACCCTTCTTGGAATTGATTCTTTGCAATATAGCAGTCTTTGACACCTCGTCGAGCGTGGACTCTGAAGACCCCCTGATAGAGTCCTTTTGTAACTACTAGCTGCAGTTTCAGGCAAAGGAAGGTCTTCGTTATCTTGAGACGGAGTGTTCTCGGTTTCCTCGGATATCTCAGAAGTGATGGAGATTTCAGTTGTTAAGGATCTCTCGCCATGCTTGCCTTCCTCATAATTATCAAGGTCGTCATTTGGTTTGCGTATCTAAAGACAAGAAAAACAAAGCATCGAGAATTGTATGAGATTTTTCAGATAAACTAAGATAACACTAGTCAAGTCATAAACATGTTTAGAAGGTGATACTAGTCAAGTCATAAACATGTTTTGAAGGTAATCAATTACCTCAACTTCAACAAGATTGACACCATTTTCCCTGAGATATGATAAGAACGCGTCGAGTGTTTCGTCTGTTGGCCGATAGTGTCCACTATATGCAGAGATGGACTGAAAAATCAAACCAACAAGAATCAACCAATTTTGCCATCGCACATAATTGAAATATATATTACACCGTGCATAGTCACACTGTAAGAAAAACTCGATCATGTAATGTTAATTATACCTTCAGAACCCCATCCTCGGCTTCGAGCCGTCCAGCAGCCAAGGTAGCTCCACCAGCCAAAAAAGAAGAATGATGGAACAACCCCTTCTTTTTCTGCAAGGTTATAACAATGTATCAATAGGACTCAATTGAACGAGAAAGAATAACATAGCTTAAACTAATTGTTACCTTTCCAGCATAAAGTTTCTTCTCGGTGCTCATTACAAATATCCACTTAGCATCTTCAGAATCCTTTTTGGTATGAAGAAAATCTCCAGATTGGTTGTTGATAATTTTTCCATCGCAGACAACATATTCATAGTTCTCCCTCTCTTGCTGTAAAAAACAATTAACCAGTAAGAAAAGCAGGAAAATACCATAACTTTTGAAATTATGCAGAATTTGAATATAAGTCAATAGTATAAAACAATTATGCAGAAAAGCAGAAGTTGCATGCACATACAGGTCCAAGATACTTTATGCATTGTTTTCGAAGCTTCGATCGGGAACACCGTTCAAGATCAAGAGTTTTCCCATTTCCCAAATCCAACCTGTAGAATAGATTGAGAGAGAAATTAAGTTAGAAAACAGAACACTGTATCCTCTAAACTTGCACTTTTTTTACTCATTGTCCTATTTGCACTTTAACCAGAATCAATTTTACAAAATCAAATCGTTCAAAATCAATTATTTTCCCATAATCAAACACACGCTAATATCAATAGTAGATTATCCAAGTCACACCCTATTCAACCTTTAGATTAAAAACTATCTCACCAATAAAAGAAAGGTTGACCAGAATCAGTTTTGCACCATTCTTCATAATAATAATGCAAGTTGTGTCCATAGCGATGGCGTGGATCAATCTACAATTTCATGTCAAGACCAATTAAATTAAAATTGAAAAACTATAAACAATTAATAATCGATCATGCATAAAAAAATAAAAACAATCATACTCACAGCTTCAATCCAATGCTGAAAAGCCAATTTTTGTGCTTTGGCGTCTAAGGACAACCCTTTACCAACCTGCCCAAAAAAAAAATTTACTTTAGAATTCAACACAAAAACAGTCATCATCTTAGATCGTTGGATTGAGATCAGACCGTTTCAATTTAAAAATACCTAACCAAATCCAAATCATTGATCCAACGAATATGATGAGGATCACTCAACTTCCGGTTGAGTTTTGCTGTGTACAGTACGGGACCAAATTTTCAATGATGCAAATGAAAAATAAAAGCAACATAAATGAATGCAGCCGTACACAAGTACTAAAAAAAATAAAAATCGGATATCACTTGCATGGACTAAATAGTGTGTCCAGGTGGAACCCAGATACTCTATAAAGTTAGTAAAGATCTCTTGCTATCTCTTTTCATTATTACACAGAAAATAATTACCAAAAAAATTACAGAAAAAAAAAAGAAATGAAGTTAGAGAGAAAAACCTTGGAAGCATTGAGTGTGACTCGAGACCATCGAGACGCAGCAGTTTCAGGCAAATTAAAGAAAGAAATCGTACTGCGATTCAATCTCCAAAAATCTATCGCTTGCCACCTACACAATTTTCAAAATCGAATTACGAAAAAGTAAAAAAACCAAATAAATTCTAAAAAAAATGCAATAAAATATAAACATAGAGAGAGGTTGCATGCAGATTGTAGGCAAGTGTCACCATAGTTCTTCCGCAACAACGGCGGAATCAGCCAACCTCCGCCGCGTACGGTACCCACGGTAGACCTTCTGAACACAAACAGCAGCGCTGGACTCGGCACACGCGCTTCCAAGCGCGTGCAACTCCTCCGACAACTCAAATGTTTCTGATAGCGGCGTATCATCGTGAAGGGAGAGACGGAATGTCGGGTCCGGGTACTCGGAGGTCCGAAAACCCGACGGGTGAATGTCGTATGGGTTCGAATTCGGGTTAAGATCAAAGACAGACTGAGTCTCAACTTCCATTAGAGCAAAAAAAAATAAACCAGAGAGTTTTAAGAGAATTTTGAAGAATAGTACTGAACAGTATTTTTGGGTTGTCACAAGACTGAAATTGTTGTTTTCTTGAAGTTGTTTTAGAAAAAGGAAGAAATGTAGCTGGAATGTGAGGAGGGGAGATATAACACAGATGAGGTGGTTTTTATACATGGGGTGAAGAGAAAACCCAACTGTCCACTTCTTCTTACTATTTTCATTTGTTATTTTCATCTATCTATCTATCGGTACGCGCTCATTTAAGGACTCTCTCCTCACTCGCTATCTTCAACATGATTTAATGCATTTACACATTCGTTTTATTAATCGCCGTTGATTTTGATCGAACGGTTTTAAAAATACAGGTTAGTTTTAATTTTAGGACCGTTGATTCTGATCGTACGGATTAAAATATGCGAGTTGTGCGAATGGTGTGAGTTGCCGACTGCAGTTAGTTCCAATCTCGCCTTCTTCTTCCTTTTCAGTTTGTTATGTTTATTTAATTCAGTCGCTTTGGGTTATTGGGTACTTTTATTTACCACTTCAACTTTTTCTTTTAATAATGTTTGAATGAATATAACTTTTTTTTCTTCAATGTTTTACTAAATAATTGTTCTAACTTCTGACCAATAATCAATAATCAACTTTTCCTTCTAGAAATTTACTAAATGAAAGGGTATTGAAGTAATTTAAATTTTTTACTACTAATTTTTAATTATCCTTTTAGTTCTTGTTATTAATATTTATAAATTTCATTCTATTTTGTAAAATGTATAAAATTAAAATAGGTTATTATACGTATTTTCAATTTTAATTTTAAAACTACATAAAATATAATGTAATAAAAATGTGAATGGTAAAAAACATTTTAAATAATATTGAACAATACTAAAAAAAAACATGTTAGTAACAAAAAAATAAAAGCAATGAAAAAGGGCATTAACAAACATGGTTAATATCTCTTAACAAAGATTAAGAAATTAGTTTTTCTTTTTGTTTGATAACCTTAAAAAGTTAAAATATTAATACATTAATTAAATATTAAAATCTAAATTTTAAATATGCTAAATTTGATTTGGTGAATCAAACAAAATATTTTTTATAGTATAATAGTCTTAAATAAATAAAATAAAATACTAATATCAAATTAAATAGTGAAGATGTGACTAAAAAGTAATAGATTAGTAAAAGACAATTATTATACACTGTTGAAAGAAAATTAACTCTAATTTAAGGAGAAAATATTATTATGAAAGAAAATAAAGATAAATTATTAATTTTTAAATAAAACATGAGTTTAATGGAGATGTATTATTTCTATAAAATTCTTTTTTTACAATCATTTAATTAGAAATTATCAATCTATTAAAACATCACAATTATTTTAAATTATCAATATGACGTGACGGGATACACGTCGTTCATTAGATGACGGTGTAAAATTTTTTTGTACCATTAATATATCACTTATTTTCTCATAAAAAATTAATAATAGTTTTTTCTTATATCATATTAACGAGTTCCACTTTAGCTTATGTAAGAAGAAGAAAAAAATAGATTTTAACTTTATTATTTGAAGATTAGGTCAATTAAAACATTTGAACCATATGACTCAACAATTAAACTTACGTGAAGTGTAATTTATTTATTTTTTTCAATTTTTGTAAAGATAAATGACATTTATTATTAAATTTATTTGTTTTAAATTTAAATTAAAAAAAAAATCATCTTCACCGTCTTTTTATTTATCTTTGTCATTCTCACTTCTCCTACCATTTCAAACCTAGAAAAAAAATGAAAAAAATCAAACTTTTCAAAATAAATATTTTTCTACATCATTTAAGATTTTTAACAAGCACTATTAAAAAAATACATATAACAACATTGTCTTTACTATGGTCCTTCAAATGACCGTAGTGATATCTTTATATTCAGACGCTTATATATTTTTTATTAAACATTATTAATTTATTACCACGGATCATACATTTAACAGTAGTGATATATTATATGTTGCATGAGTTTGATTGTGAGCGCTCGTTAATTTGTGATTTTTTTAGTATTTTAGTTGCGCCTTTCATTTTATTTAAAAAGCGAAAGTGATATCACTATGGTTCTTTAATCTAACTGTTGTGATATATTTTCTAATTTTTAATTACTTAAAACATGGTACTTTTTTTATAAAATATCATTAATGTAAATCTTATATCACCGCAGTTGTTTAAAAAAACGTTGATATATTTTTCATTATTTTTTAAAATTTTTAAGTGCTTAAACCTGACGCTTTTTTAAAAAAAAACAAAATTTCATCATATATCACAACGGTTTTAATAAACAACCATGATGATATTATTTATTCACTTTAAAGAAACAATGCTAGCTAACTTGTCTCTTCAGTTCCATATTTTCATTTCCATCACGAAAAATGTCATTTCAACCCCTGAAGAAACAACACCATTTGCAACCCTAACCAAACAACCTTAACGGAAAAAAAACAAGTTTCAAACCTAACGAAACGTACAACACCATCTCCAAACCTGAAGAAACAACACCATTTTCAATTAATTTATGTGCTTTCATACGTCGAGGAAGGAGCCGACTACCACGTTCTTCGTTCTTGACTAGCCTTCGATTTAGCTGTCGAGGAGGTACTCAAAAAATCTGACAAAATTTTTTTACTTATTCATCATGTTTCAAGTACGTAAAAGTTTTCCCCATGCATCTACAATACCATCATTTTCCATTGTTGTTTATGTATTTGTTTTTGTTGATGTCGTTGTGTTGATGATGCCACTGATGCTTATGTATTTATTGTTGTTGATGCCATTGTTGTTGATGATACCATTGTTGTTGTTGATGCCATTGTTGTTGGTGATGCCGTTGTTGCTTATGTATTTTTTGTTGTTGATGATGCCATTGTTGCTTATGTAATTTTTGTTGTTGGTGTCAGTGTTTTGATGATGTCATTGATGCTTATGTATTTGTTGTTGTTGATGTCATTGTGTTGATGATGCCACTGTTATTGATGATGTCATTGTGTTGATGATGCGATTTTGAATTATGTTTGTGTCTTGTGTTAATTGTTTCATGTCTTGATAGATGACCTATTCTTCATCTAGTAGAGACGAAGCTATGTATACAAATGAAATCAGTATAAATGATTCTTAATCTATAGGTGAAGAACAAAAAAAAACAAAGAGGTGCCACAATGATGGCTAAATTAACAAAAGTCTGCAAGTCGGGTGCCAGACTTCTAGTCGAGTTTACTATCGTTTATACAATTCTTGATGATCTTAGTTCTTCGTTTTTTAAGAGTTATGTTGTGTTTCTTGGACGTAACAAAGTCAACATATTGTTAGATGATTGGAAAGACGTGACCGATGAGGTGAAAAAGAGCATGTGGACAGACGTCCAGGTATTAATTTTAATATTCATATATTCGATATTACTGCATAGAAACACTAATACATACTTATTTATGCAAATGTTTAGTTGACATTTGAGTTTAGTGATGATTCAAAGCTAAAAAAAAGTGGATCACTTATGTTGGTACGACTTGGAGGAGTTTTAAGTCACGGCTGACGAGTGACTACATTATGAAGAATAAGCCTAATATTGAGCGGTTGTGGGTGAAATATCCTTTTCTTGACAAGAAGGTTAGGAAAAAGTTTGTGAAGTCTTGTAGTTCTGAGAAGTTCATGGTTAGTACCAGTTATAGATACAACCATAGACATTATTATTTTCCTATGTTTAAAACAGGTTAAAAATGAAGCAGGAAAGTTGAACAAGGCTAAAAACAAATACCTTCCATAGATTGTGTCGTGCGGGATACAGGAAACTTGAGAAAACAATGGTTGCTGAAAAAATACAACAACTAGGAGATGCATACTCCATGAGTCGTGATCGAGAACCATCTCCACCATCAAGACATAAGAAGTGGAAGAGGGCTCGACAAAGGCCAAATGGAGACTACATTTCAGATGCCTCAAGATTAGTCACTGAAAAATTGTAAGTAGGACTTGTTGTGCATATGTTAAGTGTTATTTAAATCGCTTTGGTAATTAATAATGTATGTTTTATCATGTTATATATGATTCGTTGGTTATCTCAGCCCGTGAAGGTTCCTTTGTTCCAAAACCACAACATGATATATTAGTAGAAGCAATTGTAACAAATAAGCATGTCGGGCGTGTCTGTGGTGTTGGAGATGGCATCAGCCCGAGAGTGTATTTTGGTTAATCTAGAAAAATCACTGGACATGTGCAAAAAGATGTGTTAGAAGAGTTTGAGAGGAAGTTGGATACTCAACAGAAACAATTTCAAAGCATGATAGACGCGGAGCAGGAAACTCGTAGGAAAGAATTGGAATCAATAAAAGAGCTATATACGATATGTGAGAATATTGTGACATCTGAAATGTATAATATTATTTACCCTGAAATTTGGTAAACAATGATAGTCTCTTGTTAAAGGTTACTTTGCGAGATCGACTAGGAAATCTCTGAACAATGTGCGTAAAATTTTAAACTAAAGTAAAAAATAGTAAGAGTTTGAGTGATTTTGACACTGGTCAAGATCATGTTTTGAGAATTAAGGCGAGTGAAAATAAAATTTTGACTGGAAATGTAAAGGGTTCGACCCTAAAATGTAAAGAAATGTAAAGTAAAACTGGAAATAATGCTTTGCATAAATGGAAATTTGGTGATCAAACATACATTGCACTCTTGAGACTCATTTTGCTCATCGCTGGGTACTCTTAGTTTGTTAGTAAATTTTAACACCCTTAATTATATCTTAAGAACTACTATTTATACTAAAAATACAAATAATTGCTTGAAGGCGGACTTTTCTCCACTAAGCGCCACGTGCTTGTTAGAATAAGATTTGGATATGTGTTTAAATATCTATGTTTTAATGACAACAATGCATATATTTTATGAAGAACAATTTTAGTTTTAATGGTTTCTTGAGTGTTCAGATAAGAAATTCTA